GATGGAGCCGGGCGGGTTCCCGGCGGTCCTCGGCCGCCTCAACAGCATCGTGTTTGTCGCTGGAGTCGTTTGATCTGCAGCACCTGTGCTGTCCCCGGGGGGGGCTGCAGGGCGGGAAGGGGGGCACTGGAACACCCCCCTGCTGGAGGGGAGCTTATTGCCGCTGTCAGCGCTAGGGGTTGTGTGTGTGTTTTCTTTTTCCAAGGTGAAAACCTGAAATGATGTAAAAATTGAAATTGTGGGTATTTCTTGTCCTTTAACAGCAGAACTTTTTTTTTTTTTTTTTTTTTTTTTTTTTTTTTTTTCCAAAGGTGTCTAGGTCTGTCGGTAACTTTTCTTAAAAGCAAATAAGGACTTTTTTTTTTTTTTTCATCACTGATGGACAAGTACTTGCTACTTAGAAAAATCATTCCTTAAAAGCAGCACAACAAATCTGTATTATGGGTGTATGGTCGTGTTGAGCCAGTCTGTGCAGTTTTTGGTTAGGTTTTGGGTTTGGTGGTTGCGTTGGGTTTTTTTTGTTTGCTTGTTGGGGTTTTTTTTGTAGATTTTGTTAGGTTTTTTGTTTTGTTGGTTCTTGACAAAAACAAAAATCCCACAGGAGCTCAGAAGACTGGTGTCCAGTTACTCTTATTTTAATATGGTGGATACAAGGATGCTCTCAAGCAGCACACTTCTCAGAAAAAGGAGTTTAAGGAAAAGCTACTTGTGATAAATAGAGAAATAAACCCTTGGCTTGAAAATTACTCATGTGATGATGTTGAAATAATGGCAGAACTGGAGAAAGAGTCTCGTGCTTTAGCAACTGACTTAAGTGCTTACATTTAGTTTTATTTTTCCACTGTATGTAAAAACAGGTTTTTTAACTGGGAACTTAAGTAGAGCATACTTAGTGCTGTAATTTCTTCATGCACCTGGATTGCATAGAATGATTTAGAACAATTTGAGTGCCCACCACAGATATTAGTACAGGATTTTAGGGTTAAAAAGGAAGAATGAATTCCCTGTTGGCAAATGGACCTTTTTTTGCCAATGGTGGAAATATAATACATAAATTGCTGCATAATTAAAAAAAAAATAGCTTTACGTAGTCTAGACACTGCTCTCATTATGTAAACATTTAGTATTTAGAATTCGCTAGATATAGGGGAAAAGTGAAGGGTCTGCTGCTTTTCTCAAGCACTAAAAGCACAGAACTGAGAATATGTAGATTATAGTCCCTTTTTCTTGTTATTCAGAGCTTTTTGGATAGTAGTGAAACTGTCAGGAATATTATTAGTATTGTGCTGTAGTTTGGGAACATTTTGAGGAGCAGAGCTGGCACCTATGGAAAGCTGCATTTGGTCTGAACTTTACAGGTGCCTTATGCATGAAAACATTATCAGAGGGTGAATTAGTTTAATTGTGGTACATACTTATCTTTATCCACAAAAGACTAGAGCATCTAGAGGCTTATGTTTTTCTTCAGAAAGTCCCTCAGGACTAGTTTCTGATTTTACCTGACTTTACACATGCAGTTTCTCAGTTCCTTTTATGACTGGACTGTTTCTTTTCTCTCCGCCCCCACTAATTCAGCACAAAAAAAAAAAAAACCAAAACAACCCAGTGAATAAAAGTCCTGCTGTGGGGAAAAATATACATCTCCTTTACAACAAAGAGTAAACACTTTCAGGCTTTGTTAACAACCTTTATCTTGGGCATGGAGCAGGAAGATGGGATGCTAGGTGTTAGAAAACACCCTTAGCATCTTTTATTTCTTGTGTAGGTTGGAAAAACCTGACCTCTCTGAGCACCCCGGATACAAAGCCTGGGCGCTCACCACTCGAGCAGTGCTAGTGACCGCAAGGCTTCCTACACGGCTGCCCTAATGCTAGGGGTGCCGTCAGGTTGACTTGAGGCTGGGTGAACTGGTGTAGAGTGCTGGTGAAAGTCGCTGTGTCCATCTTGGGGGGACGGGGAGGTATGGGGCCGCACTGCCCCTGTCACCCCGGGGGTTTGAAAGGGAGCACGTTGCACCGCAGGCACTCCCCTTTGCCTTTTCCTATGCTGCATCTGCTGAGCTGTCCTGTCCTGTCCTGTCCTGCCTTTCGAACTCGCAACACGTGGTCTGATTTTCTTTGCCAAGTCAGCCGCGTCATTTTACTCAGTTTTCTTCAACGTTAGAGCTGACGTAAATACTCTAACCCATGAGAAATATGTGCCACAAAGCTTCCACGTCCTTGCGGGGAGGGTAAGAAAGATAATGATCATAACCAGAAACTGTACCTGGGTAAACGGCATTGCTTCGTGGCCTCAGGGGACCGAGACCGCTGCTTGTCCTTGAGATAAATAGGTTGTGCTTGCTGCTTTTCTTTTTTCTTTTTCTTTTTTTTTTCTTAAAGTATCTTTTTGTCTGGTTGTTATCTTTTGACCAAAATAGATGGTTGCAGTGGATTATCAAAAAGGGAAACGAGAGCTCTCTAAATAGGGCGTGCTCTACTCAGTTCTGCTAGAGGAAGAGGAGATCCTTCTCTTTGCTATTAGCAAGTATGAGGCAGGAAGAATAAGACTCAGGACCTAACCATGGAAAAACTATTTTTCGCTACTACTTGGAAATCTGGATGATCATACAGTAGTTGGATTCTTTTTTGAGCTGTCATCTTTTTCTGCAGAAAAATCCCCTGTTATCTCAGCTTTGTGATTACTAGTTTTTCTTTCCGTGAAGCCTGTGAAGCAAATGATCATATGAGTATAAACCAGTCCTTCTGCTTGAGCTGGTCTGCCATGGCTTTATTTGTTTTGCTTTTTTAATAGACTGCTACAGAACACTGTGAAATTATCATCGGTGGTAAATAGGGGTTCAAGAACCATGACGACTTTAGGGATTATATTGAGACGTTTTTGATGGTTTTGTGTGATGTAACCAGGATAAATACAAGGTAAGCGCTCTGGACATTTAAGTGTTGAAAACTATTTGTGTCAGTGTTTTAATGACTGACTACACATATGTTTTTAACTTGAATAGAGCAACTCTCTCTGGCTTAAAGTAGGAAGCCGGGATGGGAAGTGACTTTTTGGGATGTTGAACCCAGTTTCTTCTAGTGAAAGTCCACTTCAGCAAAAGGGTCAAGATTTATCTTTAAAAGTTATTGTTAGGACTAGTGAGGGCGGAATAAACTGCTGGAAACTGCTTCAAAAGCTCGTTGCTTTTATGCTAACTCAATTTCTGACTTTGTTCTGAAACTGGTGAAAATTTCAATTCAAGTCTAGTTCTGATCAGTTATTTGCAAAAAAGACGGGTTGTGTATCTCAGGTGGTGACTTGCTTGTACTTTATGCAATGATACTAACAGGTGCTTATTACTAGTGGAATGATCTTGCTGCATGACCTTCTCCTCTTTCTGGACATATCACATAAAT